TGATGTACATTGGTTGTGTGAAATACGATGGCCTTGTCACCTCTCAAACCAGAACGCAAGAATTAGCTGTCCAAGCAGTCAAAATACTGGTGAAACAGCAAGAAAATTCCTTACCCCCTGGCATACAGTGAGAATGTAGTTGGAAGAGGCCGAATACCAAGCCCTTCGCAAAAAGTATCAAAAAGAACATGCAAAAAATTTCAGGTATGTAATGAAGGAATTAAAGTATGTGGATGATTACAATTGGACATGGAGTTTGTTTCCCAGCCACGTGGTGGTGTTTTTACAAACAACCTATTTTAGAACCCATTTGCTTTGTTTTGTAGGAAGGCTCTAAAAATATATATAACAGTGCTAAGAAATCTGGACTGGCCGCTTTTCCAGATTATGTATTTTGCTAAAATAGTCGGATTTGTGTTGAAAAAGGGTGATGAACTAAAAGGAATGAATGTTTGTTTTGTTTGCAGCGAGACGCTTATAAACGTAAGAATGTTAAGGGATTTAGACTGGCCGCTTTCGATGAAAATTTATTTTGCAAATTTTCCTCTCTAGGATCACATTGAAAATTACTCAAGCATATAAGGAACGGACAATGGCCGGTGGATGTGTTTTGCGGTTTTGTTAATAAAGTCATGGAAAGTTGTTCGTCGTTAGTTAACTTTCATATTCCCCTTTATGTAAATACCATAGCAGATTTTTAATAAGGTGTTTTGTTTATAGATCAGTGCTGGGACTGTTGAAACTAATCCCTGATGTACATTGGACACCTTCATTTACCGCGTGGTTCTTGAATCTTATTCAGAGCAATATGTGAAAGGATTCAATTGTATAAAGATTTAGATTGGCCTGCAAGTCTAATAGTGTTATGGTTGTCGATGTCGGTAAACAATAGCATGATGGCTGCCTAATCTCTTAAGCCAAAGACAGAGAAAAATAAACGTGACTTGAAGCAACAGATATAGCGCAAAAACGGGGGAAAAAAGTAAACGTGCAACTTAGAACGTTCAACAAAGTCTTTAGGGAAAAACAAATGCGTCAGACAACCTGCCTAGCTCAGCGAAATGAAGTTAGATTGACGTCAGTCGCCTACGCTTGGATGCGTTTGTATGCAGGTGGTCGAGCCACTGTTGGTGATATTTTTTTACCATTATGCACACCCGCTTGTGAGCAGTCTCTGTTTAAATTAAGGGTGCTCTCAAGTGCCCTTAAAACAGTTAAGTGATAACGTTTTCGAGCATTTAATGTACTATGAGGTTCCAATTACTGCATTGCTTAGCTAGATGACTTTGCAAGGAATCGTTTGATAGCAGTTTTGTGCCGATCACGTCATGATTTAATGAGTTGTGACTTCATTTACGGTAGAAATTCCCACGCTTAAATCAGCTAACAGGTTGCACTAGATTCTCAGAAACGTCGTGATTCTTATAGCCCTGTAAGTGGACTAAATGCAGGCGAAATTTGGTTGAAAATGGTTTTATTCTCTTAGTTATTAATGGTTAAAGTTTTTTCCAATATGGCGGAAGGAAAAAGAGGGTTTTCTTCCCCTACTCGGTCAATTTACATGAAATCGAGGCGAAACTTTGACTGTCCATAACTCCAAGGGGATTTGACCGTTTGAAGTGATATTTGGTGGGTAAAGTCTCCTCCAACATGGCGGACGGAAAAAGTGGGATTTATTCCCCTACTCGGTCATTTTACATGAAATCGAGGCTAAATTTTGACTGTCCATAACTCTAAGGGGATTTGACCGTTTGAAGTGATATTTGGTGGGTAAAGTCTCCTCCAACATGGCGGACGGAAAACGTGGGATTTATTCCCCTACTCGGTTATTTTACATGAAATCGAGGCTAAACTTTGACTGTCCATAACTCTAAGAGGATTTGACCATTTCAACTGATATTTTGTGGTGAGATTGTACTAGCTTTTGGCTCTGTATGACAGCAACAAGAACTTCTCAGACCATAACTCTAACCCTTACATCCTCGGGCTACTATCACGATGGCTAGTTCAAGTGACTCAGATGACACATGGCATGATAAGACCCTTTCAACACGCCAGAAACTTCAAAGGCTGGCCCACATTGCACCAGATAGGCCTGTTGACCTTGATACAGTACTTGACGATGAAACGTTTACCCCTAAAACACGCGTAGTACCAGACTCCGAGAACCTGCAGTTGGAGTTTAAGTATCATTCAACCTTGATGTATGCTGCACAGTGCCGAGGGAAACGTATTCTGGATGAATTATACAAAGATCAAGCAGAAACCATCAATTTGTTACACAAGACAAAGCACGGTAAACCAGCTGATGAGAGTTACAGAAACATCAAAGCAGCTGAAATTAGAGAAATAATCAAAGACATGGGCTGGGACAAGGAGAGTAAACCAAAGGAGAAGAAAAGAAAAGAAGCTAAGACGGTCAGTTAAGGTTCCCACAAAGGTCAAAAGAAGAAAATAACACATGAAACTAGCCCTGCGACAAGTGACAGTGAAAGTGAAGGCACTGAGCGGGCCAGTACATCCCAAAAAAAGCCAAAGAAGAAAAG